TTTTTTTTTTTTTATATAATTATTAGGCTTTCTGTGTTTTTTTCTCTCTCTCTCTCTCTCTCTCTCTCTCTCTCTCTCTCTCTCTCTATGAATATTCAAAAAAAATGGATAATTATAATCAACAAAGAAGGCAAAAAAAAAAATAACCCATAATATTATTAACCATAACCATAATGAATTGAAATGATGAAAACATCAACAACAACAACAACAACAGCAACAGCAACGGAAAAAAAACCGTATGAAAATCTAATATAGCCACATGGTGGAAGAATTACGAAAATTATAGCTATTTTTGGTTTTCTGTTCTTGCTGTATTACAAAAACAACAACAAATCTTCATAGCTTTTACAATTGAAAAAGAAAAGAAAAAAAAGATGTTAAGTAAAAGATTTACTGAATAATGTCAAGAATATACATTATTATGAATGGAATTAGAATAATAATAATTTTGTTTTTGGTTATTGAATTATCCTTATTTGATGTCAAATGCAGGCCAAACCAAACACACAGCCAACAATCATACAAAATTTCTATGGATTTTTTCTACTATTCATTTTTGTTTTGTTTGATCCATAATAATTATTCAATTTTTTCTTCTGCTGCTGCTGTTTGAATCAAATTTTCAAGTGTTTACCATTATTATTCTGGCTGTTGCTGTTGTTATCTTGATAAAAATTGAATGACCAACACACATACTAATGTTATGGAAATTCTGTATTAATAATGTCATGGTCATAATAATCTTCCATTCAATCTACCATTCAACAATGAAACCGGTTTCAAATTTTTCATTCTTTTTTTTTTGTTGTGAAAATTCATTGTACCAGGGATTCCCAAATGGATTGGAAATGAAATGAAATGGAAACAAAATGAAAAGAAAAGATTGAACGAACGAATTGTTGACATTCAAAACCTCCAACAAAACCAAAACCAAAACAACCATTCACTATATATAGAATGTAAAGATTATGTTACGCAAAAGAAAAAATGATAAAACATTAACATCTATGTCCTAATTTGACCAAAGTTTTTGGTTACAAGTTTTTTTGTTTAAAGCTGCTGCTGCCATCTTGTGTTTCAATTTGGTTATTTTATTTTAAAGTTTTGAAAGAAAACAAATACAAGTCAATAATTAATAATTAAAAAAAGTCATTACAAAAATAATTAATAAAAAAGGTTATTACAAAAAAAAATTAATTAATAAAGATGAAAAGCATCACGTAAATGATCAAGTGTAACAAGACATATGCAAATAATCCACCAAATGGCTGTAAAATAAATCCAAAAATTTGTACGAAAATATGATACAGATGAATTTAATGTTTCATAAATTTTTTCCATATTAATCGTTCGTTCATCAATCCATTCACATTTGGTACGATTTTTAATATATGGTAAAAGGAATTTTTGTTGTACTTGTTTTCGTGAATAATATACTAATAATGTTGGAAATACATATTGTATCATTGTACCGGAATATGAACCAACAAATTGTATAATCGATGATACATCTTCAGTAAATAATGCAATCAATAATGGTGGTATAATTGCAATCAATGGCATTGAATATTTTATTAAACAATTATAACGTATAATGTTTGAAAACCCGACCAATACTTTCATATTATTTATTAATGTTAATGCCAATATTGTATAACTTGAAAATAATGTAAATATTGGAAATGTTGGTAAAAATATTTCAAACCCGGGTACGCTTGCTGGATTTGAATTATTATGTGAACATCTATTTATTTAACAATAATTATTATTATAAATAATGAAAAGAAAAAAGTTAAAATTATCATTCATCAAACAAAACAAAAAAAAACTTACTTATCAATTTGAAAATTTAATGTATAAACTTGATTAATATCATCGAATGCAAATACGGCTGTAAATGCAATAATAATATAGAATGCAAATACAAGTATATAATCAATTGAAACGGCCATAAGTAAATTTTTTTTATTACGAATCGGTGTTAAAATTGATGGTACCGAATGATGACACATAAATGAATAAACACAAATACCAAATAATTTTGGTAGATTAAGTAAATTGAATGCTTTTGGTTGACCATTAGCTTGTTTTGATATGAATATTTTTATTGTTATGCCAATCATGCTTGCAAAAGCTAATGAGAACAAAAAAATGATGTTATTGATAAACAAATTAAAAAAATTATAAGTAATTTACCCAACCAACGAAGTATAATGGTTAATATTTGAATAATTTTTGTCTTTTGTAATTGTGCATATGTTAATGGGCCTAAAATGGCAACAAAACCAAGTAAAAATATTTGATATGCATTTTTTCTTGTAATTGTTGTTATTGAATCCCAACAAATTGCATTCAAATGTTCAGGATCATTTGAATCTGATGAATCACAATAAGCTTTTGATGTACTATTTATAAATTACAAACCAAAAAAAAACAAAGTTAATTACATTTAAATTTTATAAATAAAATAAATTATAAAAAATAATTTACCAACTAATATCACGTAATGATTTTGACATCATTGAATTATAAATAACAATATCACCAAATAAATAAACAATAACAGAAATGAAAAATATTTTTGATAAATATTGATTTAAAAATAATTCAGTCATATTTCCTAATTCAAATTTTTCATTAATATTAAAACGTTTATCCAGATGATCGATTGATTGTAAACAATTTATAATATTATTTGTAATAATATTACGTTGTTTTTTTTCTTTACGATTATTATTATTTCTTATTAAATCCGAACAAACAATATTATTCCATTGTAAATTATCATTATCATTAGTAGTAGTAGTAGTAGTTATTGTATTGATCGATGTTGTTGAACATAATTGTCGTATATCGGATTCTGAATTTGGAATAGATAATAAATTAGTTGCTGATGATTGATTTGTATTAATAATAATTAAGCCATTATCATTATAATCATCATTATCATTCATTTCATCATTGCCATCATCATCCGAAATATAACAATCGTCATCAGCATTGTTGACATTGGTTAATAAAGGTGATAATTCGGTTGTTTGTTGAGCTGGATTAAGAAAGAAAAAGAAAAGAAAAAAATTAATAATTTTACAGCCAAAAAAAATGTTGTAATCAATTTTTAATTATAATTTATAATTTTAATTAAGAAAAATTACCCGAAATTATTTGTAAACATTAAAAATGTTGTTTTAATCTGATCAAAATCCCACAGAAGATTACAAAAAAATTACAAAAGGATGAATTGAAAAATGAAACAAAAAAATGTTAATGAAAAGAGAGAGAGATAAAGATGCCATGCAGCATTCTGAAGAAGAAAAAAAGAGAGAAGAAATGGTGGTTGCTATTTTCGTGCAAAATCATCGTCATAATGTTAATTATTCGTGCATATTATATTAATATAATTAGTAATAATAAAGGGTTAATTAATTAATTAATATTCATGCAAATGAGGTTATTTAACTGAATGATAATGATGAATATAAATGATAAATGGCAAAACTACAACAACAACAACAACAAAAGGGTTATGATTAATTTCTTACCAGGTTAAAGGTTATTAGTAATCGAAAAAATTCAAAAATTCAAACAAAAAAAAACACTTACCATTGGATTTTTTTGTCATTCGTTTAATAAAATTAGCATTAGCCATTGTTTCAATTAAAAATGTTGTCTGTACATATGATATTAAACATAAAATAGCTAAACAAATGATTCCGGATAAATAACCAGCATTTGCAAATACAGCTGGCATTGCTAATACACCGGTACCTAATAATAAATTGAATAAATAAATTGAACCAACCTGGTAACCATTTTGAAAAAATGAAAAAAAAATTTGGATTTTTAAAAATAAGATAGGATTTTCAAAAACAAAACAAAATACAAACCAAAGCTGAATACAAATTGTTATTATCAGCCATCTTCTTTGCAGTGGAAAGATGTTTTCAAAACGATTATGGCCAGAAAATTCTTTTATAATTGAATTTTTGTTATTTTACAAATCAAAAATTACAAATTACAAATCCTAATTAAAATGAAAATTAACTGATTAAAACTAAATGAGATCATCGAAAAAGGAGGAAGAAGAATTTGGTGGGATCTAAATCTAATTATCGATCGATCGATCAATCAATCATTTTGAAATGTTTTGTTTTGTTTTTTTGGGTAATCATTATAGATCGGGGGGCGTCATTTTATTTTCAAAATTTTCAATTTTTCAAACAGCAAAATGAGTGAAAACAAACAGCAAAACAAAACAAAAGCAGCAAAACAAAAACAAGTTTCAGTTCGTCGTCTTTTTTCTGTTCACCAACGAATGGCGCTATCTGTGTCATTATTCACAATGGAAATACAGCTGTTTTGTTTTGTTTGGTGTTTGCGTGTTAAAAATATTTTCAATTCATCAAAATCGAAATGATCGTTTCATGAATTCAAATTCAAAAAACCAAAAATCAAAGCAAAACAAAGCTTCTTACCTTCAGGTTAGCCAAATTTATGAATATTTTTTTCTTTTATTTTCCCCAGTTTACAGTATAATTATTATGATGATTGAGGAGTTTTCACTAATCAAATATTATACTTGCAAAAAAACAGACTTTAATGAGTATGTTTTAATTATCAAATAATTACAATTGATTGATTGATTTTAGGATGATTGATCTATGTTGTAATGATCAATGTGTTGGTAATGATGGTAACCAAAAAATAAAAACACTACTAAAAAAGGTTGAAAACCAAAGAAAACCAGAAAACGAATTCTAATTTATCATTTTTTTTATTATCGTTATTTTTATATATAATTCAAGGGAATTTTCTTTTTTTATTTTATAAATTCATATTTATTAATGATCATAAATTACATTTTTACAAATTACCTTTTTTATTTAAAATTTATATATTCATACTTGTCATTTTATAGTTTAGTTTACTGATAATAAAATTATCACTTGTAAAAGAAAAATATTGGAATGTACTACAAGGAATGTAACGAAAAGACTACTACTGGTTCCATTGTTTTAATATCCAAGCAACAAAAGAAAAGAAAAAATCAAAGTTCAATCAATCGATGATGCTAATGCTAATCTAAAACCTTTTTTTTAAAAAAAAGAAAGGAAAATGTGCTTGAAACACGAGTATCATCAGAGAGGTTATAATAAAATTGTTATTATTCAAATTCGTAAATACTTGATTAGTTTATTATAATCAATAAAAAAAAAGAAGATAGATTACAATCAAAGATAATTAGTTACAATAAGTGATGATGATTATCGTCAATGTCATTTAAAACACCGTTTTAATTTACCTTTTTTTTTGTTGTAAAAATCTGATAATTAATTAATTACCTGAAAAAAATAATAATTAAAATTTTTCAAATTTTATCCCCTCCTCCTTCCCCCCTCCAGAAAAAATAAAGGAAAAAAAACTTCTTGTAAATTTGTGATAAATCCTACAATTATATATGACACGATATGGACATTTCACCATTAATATTATTATGGTTATTTATAATATTTTGGTCAATTTATAATTTAATACGTTCATTATTAACAATTGAATATCAAAGAAAATTATATAAAAATTATGGTTTAACATTAGGCCTGATATCAATAATAATAGAAAATCAATCAATAACTAAATGGATTAATAATTTAAAATTTAATCAACAAAAATTTCATTATTTACAAATTATTTATAATTATTATTTTCGATTATCGGTTATAATTTCTTATCTATTATTTCCATATGCATTATATCAAATTTCAAGTTGAGTATTTTTAATACTTATTATTTTTACAAATTAATTAATTAATAATTCAAATTCTTTTATCATTTTATAGAATCATTATTTTATGCAAATGAAATACAACATTTATTCAATCATTTTTTATCATTTAAATCTACAACTAAAACTAATTATAATGGCAATAATAATAATAACAACAACAACAACAACAATCAATTTATGGTTATGTTTCCCGGTTTAACACTTTCATTGAATGATAGTATTTATTTTTTCATTTCAATTTGTATTTGTTCATTATTACATGAATTAGGACATTCATTTGCTGCAAATAGACATTCAATTAAAATTGATACATTTGGTTTTCAATTTAATTTTTGTCTACCATTAACATTTGTATCAATACCGATGGAACAATATTTAAAAAATAATAATATTTTAGCTAAAATGGAAATTACTTGTGCTGGTTTTATGAGTAATTTTTTAATTTGTTTAATAGCATTATTTTGTATTATTATAAATCCAATGTCAATATTTTTTACTTCTATTAATAATGGTTTATTAATTACATCGGTTGATCAGGTAATATAATGTTAATGTTAATGTTAATTTTTTTTGTACTAATCATTTTTTTATAATAGTCCATTATAACTGGTCTAAATGAATATGATATTATAACGAAAATCAATAATGTTCCTATTAACAATCAAAATGATTTATTAATTACATTGAATGAAATATCTAAATATCAAACTGGATTCTGTATTGGTAATGATTTTATTGATCAATTATCATCATCATCATCATCATCATCAATGTGTAATTTTGAAAATTGTTGTAATGGTTTTGATCAACAAAAAAATTTATGTTTTATTTACAAAAAACAACAAATAATAATAATGAAAGATAAAATATCAACAAAATATATCAAAAATTGTAATATTGATCAACATCAATTATCATTAAGTAATGTTTATCATTTAAATGAAACTGATTGGCAAAATTATTATAAATTATGTTTACCAGTACGAAAAATTATTGAAAAAACTACACAATTTTGTCGACAAAATATTGATTGTTTAAATACTTATTATGGACAAAGTCAATGTATTTATCCAATTGCAATTGAATCAAAATCAATACGTTTACTTATTATTGAAACGGATGAACATAAAATGGATAAAATTTTATATTGGGGTCCACCAATTGAATTAATTCATGCCATTAAAGTAACTAAAATGAAACCATTATTTTCATTTATAACCATTGATTTTTATTATAATGTTGAAACGTTTTTTCGGTAAGATTTTTTTTTCAATTTGTTAATTTTTTTTTAATTATAAACTTTCTTCTTTAGATTTTTATTTATAATTTCAATTACAATGATACAATTTAATATATTACCATTTTCACCATTAGATGGTTATCAAATGTTAACATTAGCAACTGATTATATTGAAACAAAATTTAAATTTAAATCAAAATTTCGTTTATTACATCGTTTATTACATTTGTGGTCAGCTATTATTATTTTTATGTATATTTTTCTGTCCATTTTTAAAATTTTTAATCATCATTATTGATCGAACATTATTGATATTTACAATCAAATTTAATCTTTAAATGCATGTGATTGACGAAGAAAATTTTCCAATTCTTTTAATGCATTATTACCTCTTGTAAGATTCATATCAATTAATTCTTTATCTGTGATATGTTTCATATTATAAAATTCTTCACGTATCCAATTACGTATCTCCATACGTTGTTGTTTATTATCAATTTTTTGTATAAGACGAAAAAATTGTCGATATAATGATAATGTTCGTTGTCGTCTTATAAACTAGAAAAACGAAAACAAGAATATTCAAATGGATCATCATCATCATCATCATCATCAACTTACATGAAATAACGATAATGTATTATCCTGAAGACGACGACGACTCATTTTTGCCAAAAAACAAAAAATCCAAAATTTCCAATTTATCCAATGTTTGGAAATCAACACAACAACAAAACATAAAGCATTGGGTTAGATCGAATGGGTGGAAATAGTTGAATTATTTCGCAATAAGATTCGTTTTTTTTGTAAATCAATTTTGAAAACTTTATTATTTTAATAAAAATTTTTAACGCAAAAAAAAAATAATAATAATGTTTTTTTTTATTTGTTGTAAAATATTTACAATAATCAATGATCAATTTGAAACATTATAACAAATTTTTTGTCAAGTGTAATAAGAAGGAGAAAAAAAACGGTCAAAAAAAGATATTTTTTACCCGTGTTAATTGTGTATCATTTTTTTTTTTAAAAAAAAGGAGGATAGGATTTCATAATTTGTCCAGAATGAATGCGTGCAAATTAATTATTAGAAGAAGCAAAAAAAAGCGTGTTCGTTCGTTTGATGGTGATTTGAAGATTCATAGATTTTTTTCAACATTTCGATGCCAATTTATAAATAATTTTAGTTAATGTAAAAAATTTAATCGAACCATCAACACCGAATAATGTTGATATATTTTTATCACAATTTAGATAATATGATGAATTTTTAGTCTATTTTTTAAAGGAAAAAAATGTAACAAAAAATTAATTAAAAATCCAAATTAATTAGTTTTTCAAAAAAAAACTTACAAAAACTAGACCATTATCAACAGCATAATCAAGCATACGAGAACAAATTTTTTGTGGTGAATCCTGTTGAACCCCGCCAAGAAAATGTTAAATTATGAAAATTATTGAAATTACAATCACAATCGTAACTTACCATTGTTGAATCAAAAAATTTAGCTATCTGTTCGAAATTTTTTCCCGTTGTTGTTGTTGTTGTTGATGATGTTTTCTTTATCGTACGATTTGTTTGTGTTGTTTTGTTACCTTTGATTTTTTTCATTGAATCAAATGTTGTATCATTTTTTGATTGATAATCATCATTATTATTATCAATATTATTAGTAGTAGATGAATGACGACGTTTCATTCCTGTTGTTGTTGTTGTTGTTGACGCTTGTTGTTGTTGTTCTTGTAATATAATTTCATCAATTAATGGATCTTTTTTCAATTTAGATAATTGTTCATGTAAACGATCATATGCAACAATTGCAACACGACGTTTAGCTGGTCTTGTTGCTTGATATTCTTCTTGTTGTAAACGTCTTGCTAATTCTTCATCTGTTTCAATACTTAATGAATCATCATCATCATCATCATCATCATTATCATTGTGATTATCAAGATTATTATTATTATTTTCAGTATCAGCATGATAACTTTTTCTTCGTTTTATCGTTGTTGTAATTGTTTTTGATTTATGTGATTGATTATTATAATGATGATGATTATTATCATCATTTGATTTTCTTCTTATTGTTTGTTTATTATTGTTTTTTATAATCATATTACGATTATTATTATTATTATTGAATATTCTATGATTATTATGATTATCGATTGGTTCCAATAATGTTCGATGACAATTATTATTATTATTATTATTAATTTTTGTTTCATTTAAATCATCTAAATCAACAACACTATTTTCACTATCACTAAAATCACTTCTTTTAAAAAATGTTTTATTATTATTATTACAAATAATATTGGACGGTAGTTTTTCATCATCAATAATATTCGATAATTGTTGTTCATTTGATGATTCATCATTCGAATGAACAACTTCAGATGAATCAGATAATATTGGTATATCAATTGATTCATTATCATCCAATACAGATCTACTATTATCATCATTATTATGATAATAACCATTACCATTAAGAATTTTAGCTGTATCATGGCTATTATTATCATCATCATCATCATCATCATGAACAATACCATTACGATGAATATTTATATCTGAATCTAATGATGAATATGAATGTGGTGATGATATTGATGAATTATTTGAATTTATTGATCGAATACTTGCTATACTAGTATCATTATCATTACACCAACATTTATTCATCATATTAGGATTGTTTTCATGATGATTTGTATTTAATTCAATTGATTTTTTTATTAATTCTTGATCAATAGATTCTTGATTATTTAAAAATCCATTATTTCTTTTTAAATTTTCTATATTTTCATTTGAATTTTTACATTTTGTTAATGTTGATGTTGATGACGACGACGATGAAGAATATGTAGAAAAATTATCCAATGTTAATGTAGGTTTTCTTATATTAGTAGTTGTTGTTATTGATGATTGATCTTCATCTAGATCAAAATTTCTATATGCTGTATAACGCATTAATTTTTTCCAAAATACAGTTCTTTGTTGTGGTTTATCAATATTTGTACCATTATTATTATTATTATTAATACTACTATAATCACCATTTGTATTAATACCATTTATTTTTGTTTGTTTATCAACAACATTTGTTATTAATGATGATATTGAGGAAAATGACGAAGAAGACGATGATGATGATGATGATGAATCTTGAGCATTTTCAAATGAATTTTTCATTCTAATCGAGGTAGTTAGTAATTTTGATGATGATGATGATGATTGTAAATCAGATTTAATTTTTTCAATCATTGTCTTCGAATTGGTTGAATATTTTTCATTATTATCATCAACTACAGAAGATTTTACATCATTATTAATCGTTTCGTTTGATAATGATAATGATGATGAAATTGTTTGTGCTACAATCGAAGATTCAATTTGATTCGATTCCTGTAATGATGGAAATTTTTCATTCTTTTTATTATTCGGTTTTGTTATTTGTTCAACATTTGATGATTTTCTTTTCTTTAATTTTGAAATTTTTCTTTTCATTGTTGGCACTTCATTGGAAGATTTTTTATTTCCAATACCATTGTTTGTTGAAATTTTAATGATTGGCACTTTTGTTTTTCGTTTTGAATATTGTTTATGTTGTTGTTGTTGTTGTTGTTGTCCATTATCATTATCATCATTGATCAGACGATGACAAGAATCAAATACAGATATTGAATGTCCATATTCTGAATGATGATGATTATTATTTATCAAAAATTTTAATCCATTTGTTGTTATTGGTGATAAATTTGTTGTTGTTGTTGTTGAACATTTATTTTGTATTGTTTTTAATCGATTCAATGAATAAAATGATGATGATGATGATGAAGGTATATAATGACTATGATGACTATTTAATGATTTAATTAATTTACGATCATCATTAGACATTGATTCTAATAATGTTATTATTTGTTTATAAATATCTAAACGATTAAATATTGTACGTATAAATGTTGTACCATATTTTTGTCCAATTTGTTCAATAATTTTATTCTGTACATTTTTTAATGTTAATTTTTTTATATCATTTTTTCTTATTATATCTGTTTGAATGAAAAAAATGAGGAAATAATTTACAGAATTACAGAATCAACAACAAAAAAAAAATTTACCATTAATAATTATTGAAGCATCATTCATTGCACATTTACGTAATTCCTGTAAATCTTTATTATTATCATTTTTTTCAAATCTATTCATCGAAATCGATGGTAATGTTGATGATGATGATTGGGATGTTGTTGTTGTTGATCTAGATGAGATTGTTTTGTTGGTTATATCATTGGTAGAAATTATCGTCTTAACAGGATTTGTTGTAAAAATTGTTGATGATAACCTCGAATATTTTGATGATTTTGTTGATAATATTTTCGATAGCCGTAAAGAATCATCATTTTGTAAATATTTTGTTGTTGTCGATGATAAATGATGTTTGCTATCAGAAAAATTGGCTATCGATGGTTGGCTAACTTTCAACGAAGTTTCCAACATTTTGTTTGAATTGAAAAAATGCAAAATTTATTTTATTTTAGTTTTGATTTCTATGTTGAACGAATAAAATGATGATGAAAAATTAGAGCAATTTTTCCACCGTATCATATCAACGATGATTGGGGAAAAAATTCATTAATTGAAATTCACAAACACAAAATCATCATCATCATTTTTTTCCCATTAACAAAATTTATTAATGGCGGGATTTAAATCGGTAAATAATTTCTGGTACTGAATATTTTTTTTCAACGAAAAACAAAACACGGATTCACATCAAAATATTTTTTGGTGAAATAAAAAAATCAAATAAACGAGCCACACAAAATGTGAAAAAAATAGTCAAAAAAAAAACTTCTAATTCTTGAAATTCATTTCATTTTACACATTATGATAACGATGATGATATGTGTCCAAATAGGAGAAGGATTTTTTTTCTTTTTTTTTGGTTTGGTTTTGTTGGCCAAACAAAAAACGACATCAGAGATAGGAAGAAGAGAGAGAGTATAGCGATATTGCAACTCCTCAATATCAATGGTGGATCCTCCGCGTACAACAACAACAACAAACAAACAAACAAACAACGTAAAAAAAATTGCAAGAAAAACAAAAAAGATTGAAATGTTAAGATTGTATACACACACACACGGTATAGTGAAGAAAATTATATTAGGATTTCGATATATATACATCAAAAGAGGAAGAAGCATAATATACGCGTATGTTCCAAACAAGTTGAATACGTTTTTGGAGAACGAAAAAAAAGAAAATTTGTCGAATAAATTACAGATCAAACACACACACATATATATAGATGCTGCTGCTTTCATTTCATCTTTTTTCTTTTTTCATTCATTTTTTTCTGGGACACAAAGTTGATAATTGAAAAAAATAGTATCCAGAAAAGCATTGAGTTGAATGAAAATATATATAGCAAAATTGCATTCAAAAAAATTGTTGGTGTTAAATGAATCGAATATCCACTATGTTACGAAAACCAGTTTGTTTTCTGTTTTCTCCAAAACATTCCGATATTCGAATCTCTGCTCAATTGGATACTCAAGAGTAGTGGTATAGATTTATGGTGGCATGATTTTTTTTTTTTTTGTTAGGATATCTTTTACATGTATCCAGCAAAAAAAAAAAAAAAATGCTAGACGCATTGATGAACAAGCAAACTTATAGATACCACACATTCGATTATTCGAATAATCGAATGCTGGGAACAACAAAACGTTGTTCCATTTTGTAATTTGCATTTTTGAATATTCCAAAAAAAAAAAATTTTGGTTGTTTTTTTTCAATTTTTTAGGATTTCTTTATCATTATTATTGATGAAAATGAACTAAAAAAAATGAACTAAAAAATTTTCAAGATTTTCTTCAAATTGGATCACAAGATTCCTCATTAAGATGCTAAAAAAGACCAAGACCAAAAAAAACAGTTTTGTTTTGGATTTTTGTTTTCAAGTTCAAAAACGGTTTTAATCACGTCATTATTTTTGTTTTTTTTTAAATTTTAATTAGGATTTTTTCATTTCATTTTGAAAAAAATTTTTACAAAAATTGAAATTTATAAATTTTAATTTTTTTTGGCCGCTAGATGGCGATAGTAAAAGGCAATGACGATGATGATGATGATGATGATGAAATTCTTTTGTTTATTTTAGCTCTTTGAACTTGACAAAATGATGCAAACTTTTGATCAAAAATAGAGCAAACAAAAACAAACAAACAAAATCGAAATTCTAATATTCTGGATTGATTAGCTGAATGGAAATTGATTTGATTTAAATAAAAAAATGTTTCAAACAAATGCTTTTTTTCGTTACTATCAATGTCCGGAAAAAAAATTAACAAAAAAATGTACAAGAACATTTTGTCAATATAATCATGGTGATAATAATAATAATAATAATAATATTGGAGAATCAATTGTTGTTAATTATAGTCAAACAAATTTTGGTGTTGATGATTTTTTTACAAATCTTCGTCCAGAAGATTTGGAAGGTTATCTACCACCAGCAACAACAACAACAACAACATCGACAACAACAACGACATTATCAACAACAACAAATTCTACAAATGAATCAATCATTTCACCAAACAGTATTAATTTCGATGAAGCTGGTGATGATGATAATAAAATTGTTAATAGTAAAAAATCGAATATTAAATGTTCTACGATGAAACGAACATTATCGTTTGAAGAAACTTCTAATTCAAAACATAATTCTCAGCTGATAAATTCGAAAAATAATAATAAAACTGATGATAATCGGTGTTCAACAGTTGAAAAAAATCAAAAATTACCTGAACAAGTTACTAATGTAAGTGGATTTTTTTTCGGTTATATGAATTGAAATTAACCAGAACAACATTTTTTTTCATTACTTGGATAGAATTTGAAAAAAATACGAACATTACCAGTGAAGAAAAAACATTATCGTGAAGTTATGTTGGAACGTTATGCTAAAATAGCAGCTTTATCGAAAACCGATTCAAATGATTCGTTGAAGATTGATGATACGAATACTGCTGCTGCTGCAAACTCGAACAAATCTTTGATACACAAAACAAATGAATATGATAATAAAAAAGGCCAAAATTCAAAAATCACAACTAATACTAATACTAATCAAAAACCTGAAGATATAGTAAAAAAATTTGCCATAAATTGGATGCCAATCATATTACCATCAGTGAAAATTCCATTCAATATACGTGTTAGAAATATAAGAAGAATTTATCAAGAATTATATACAAATAAATCGAATAATAAAAATGAAAATGACCTATGTAATGAAGCAAAAGAAATTGAAAAAGAAATCTGTTTACGAAGTAAAAGTTGGTCAAGTTTATATTCATCATTGCTTGCATCAAAAATTCGTTCCATTCGTAATGGTGATGATAATGATAAAATATCTGATTCGAAAAAACCAAGAATAAAAATTGAAACTTCTGTTGTAAATAATATGAGTATTGTACGAAAATCTAAAATCACTTATAATGATTTGAATCCAGTACAATTAGTAAAATTTCTTGAACAATTAATTTTACCTGAAAATAATCAATTAGAATATGGATTTCCAATAATGGATAATGAAAATAATATAGCATTATTTTCAAAAAATGAATGGAATAATCGTAAACAATTTATAAATACATTAATTAATTATAATGAAAATATTTTTATTAATTGTGATCGTTGTACAAAAACATATAAAAATCCACAAAATCCTATGGAAAGTACATGTGTATTTCATCCAAAACATGCTTATAATATAAGAACAAATGGTAGAATTGAACGTTTTTATGTTTGTTGTAATAATGAAGCCGGTTCGATTGGTTGTCAATCAATGAATGTTCATATAACAAAAGGTTATCAATTTATTGAAACACGTAATGGTTTTTGTCATACAATATCACGACCAACAGAAATACCTAAAGCATATGCTTTAGATTGTGAAATGGTAAAATAATGTTTTGTTTTTTTTTGTAAAAATGTCATTTTTAAAAGTTTTTTATTCATTTTTTTTAAATTTAGTGTTATACCGAATCTGCATGCGAAATATGTCGTATAACAATCATCAATTTTAATGGTGAAGTCATTTATGATAAACTAGTAAAACCTAAAACAAAAATTATTGATTATGCAACAAAATATTCTGGTATTAATGAAACAGATCTTTTAAATGTAACAAATACATTAATGGATATACAAAATGATTTAAAAGAATTAATATCATCTGAAACAATTATTATTGGTCATGGTTTAGATTCAGATTTTCGTGCTTTAAAATTAATACATAAACGTATTATTGATACAACCTATCTATTTCCACATAAACGTGGTTTACCATTTAAAAAATCATTAAAAACATTGGCTGTTGATCATTTGAATCGAATTATTCAAGAAGATGGTAAAAAATAATTTTGATTTTCTGATGTCCATTTCAATTTGATTAACCCTTTCATTTCATTATTTCATTTTTTTAAAAAACAAAGATCTTGGACATGATAGTGCTGAAGATGCAAAAGCTGCTTTGGATCTTGTTAAAATTCGTTTACAAGATATAATTAATAAACATAATGTTTAAATAATGGTTAAAAAAAACTTGATTAAATCTGAGTTTTGTTTCGTTTGATCTTTAATTTTGTTTTGTTTTTTGTTTTTTGACATTTTACTCATAGGTTGTATGAAATAAGATGATGATGAGTTTTAGACTTTTTTGCAGATTTCAAACGTCTATAAAAATCAATAACAGATCTGAGATCGATATGTCATTTTGATTTTTTGTTTTTGATTAACAACACACATTGTTTTAATCCAAAAATTTTCTTCCAAAAATTCAACATTTCGAAGTTCTCACTGTAACCAATCAATCAACAATTTTCAACAACAAAAAATGGCCATTGAAGATCAAATTGATTATTTTATGTTTGATCATGATAAATATATGTTTTCGGGACGAAGTGGTAAACAACGTTCAAAACGTGAAACAACAATGCATACAAATCGTTTTGATCCAAATGGTCATAGTCGTAAATTGCTTGTTAAGCTTCGTAATACTGAAATAAAACGTCGTTGTTCAACGGTATCTACTTCGTTACCACCACCAACACCAACAAGAAAACCATCCATTGTTCAATCATCGCAATCAATCAAACAAGGAAATAAATCTCGTTCATCACGATTGATTATTGATTTGATTTAATTATATATAAAGTTTTATAAATTTGTTTTTGTAAATTCGCTATAAATTTCTTTTTTTTCGTTTATAACTTATAGCGAAATAACATTTTATAATTATAATTATTATTATTTAGAAAATTACAATTCAAATTGTAAACGGAAAAAGAAGGAGAAACAAAAAAAAAATGTTTGAAAAAAGTTAATAAATTTTTATTTTTAAAAACTTTATACTGTATTTCGTTTCGATTAAGCTAAACGTTGTATTTTACAAAAATACATTGGACCAAAATTTGTACAAATATTTGGTAATATTTGTATACCATATTTAAATTGAAAATCAAATTGAAACATTGTACGTAATGGCCGTAATGATTGTTTAAGATTAATGATTGCAAATTTCATCAATGGTTGTTCTTCGTTCATACGTTTCAATGCCATATGTATAACACCATCATTTTGTATTGGTGATAAACTACAAGTAGAATAAACAACCGTACCATTAATTTTTATCGATTTAAGTGCTTCACATAATAAATCCAATTGTTTATTTGGTATGGAAATTCTTTCATTCATACGTTTCGGTGAAAAAATATTATTTTCATTCGAATAAATTGAATGTCGATCATTTGTACATGGTACATCGACCAGTATTTTATCGAATTTATTATATTGTCGTAAATGAATAGCATCTGAATTACTGAATATGATTGATTGTTTAATTTTATCTTTAGGTATAAATGAACGGAAAACATTTTTCAAACGTTCAAATCTTGATTCGGATAATTCATTCAGAAAAAATTTACAATTTTTCATTTGTAAATACATTAATAATGATTTACCACCAGGTGCAGCACAAAAATCTGCAACATAATCACCATTTTGAATATCCATAGCTAATACAGGTAATATTGATGCACCATCAAGTAAATAATAATTGAATAAATTTGTTTGACATAATTTTGCAGCTGGAAATTGTGTAAAATCATTACGACGAAATAAATAAAGATTTAATAAGATTGGCATTTCAATATTGGTTTGTTCAATATGATCAACAACTAATTCATGATTAGTATTATAGAATTCAAAATATTCACGATCATCAACAATTTCTTCACGATATTTTAATTCGGTTACAGGTACAAATTGACTTAGATCCAAATGTAATGATGCTTGATTATGTTCAAGTTCAGATTCTTGTACATCGGTAAAAAAAGCTTCAATATTTTCTGTTTCAGATTCTGTTTGTTCTAATTCCGATGGTATGATAATCGATTCATCATGATCATCATTATTATTATTTTTTACCATTAATTTTCTTGATTGAATAAATTCTTCACGTTTTAATTGTTTAATAATTTTTCGTAAATTTTTATCATAAATATAACGTAAATTGTATGCACCAATTTGACGTAATTCAATTTCGGTTGATTCAAAATCAACAAAATTATTTACAATAGCTGCGTATTTTTTCGGTGATAACAATCCTAAACGTATTGATTGCCATTGTTTTTCATAAATTTTTCCATAAAAATTATCAAAATGACGTAATGCCAGTTCAGTATTATTTATTTTATTTTTACCTTTATACTGTTATTTAAAAATATGTATGGATTTAATTCAGTTAACCAGCCAAAGAAAATACTTACAAAATGAACATTATTCTTTAAAATTAATGATAAACTTTTGATTTTTCGATAATTTGAAACAAACATTGTTGATGTTTTTGTTTTCGTTTTTACGAACAAAATATGTTTCACACACGTGTGTGTTTATCAATTCGAAATTCGATCAAAGCGACATCTATTGTCAACAATTTCAATCACTGAAAAGTTTTATTTTCATTTTGAATTTTTAAAAATTTTTTGTTTGTTTTGTTTATAAATTACAATGATAAATTACAACATTTTTTTACAATTATGATGATTCAAGTTTCATTTGTTGTTCGATAATTGATTCTGGCCACCAAAATGGTCTCCATGTACGTATACGATGACCAGTTTTACTTAATTTCAATCGTGAATCACTTGAAATTGAATCAAATTTAAGTACAGCCAAACCTTGATCACCATAATTTGATCGAAACCGACCAACATTTTTACCATCCGAATCGATTACATTCTGTAATGGTAACATTTCGTTTGATTCGACTAATGGATCAATAATTTTAATAGGCATTATACGTTTACGTATTACACCGGTATGATAAGTTCGTGCTGTTAATTCTTGTCCAATATAACAACCTGTTTTACCAAACAAAATGTTAATATTATGAAATAATAACCATCATCAAACAAAAATAAAATAAACAAACCTTTTTGAAAACTAATTCCATTCAGTATATCACCATTAGCATCAAATGGTAATGATGTTTCAATTGGAAAATCTAAACTACCTTCACCAATACCATATTGATAACGAAATGAACGATAACGATTTTCATCAATATCAATAATTTTCCATGTTGGATTCATTTCGTTTAAAAAACTTAATAATTCATTATTTGATTGAATTTTTGTTAGAATTTTATAACCAAAATAATTATTTCTTGGATCATTAACGAAAATTGTATTTGATTCATTATTATTTATTTGAATAATTTCATTTAAATTATTTTCAATAACAGTTGGAAATAATGAATAACAATGCCAATCATTCGTATCGGATTGTTTAATTGAAACTTTACTTTTAATTTTATAACGTTTTAATAGTTTAATTAAAATTGAACTAATTTGTTGATCAACTTCTAATAATAATATTGCATCATTATTTTCATAATCATTTTGCTTTGTAATCAATCGATGTACAAATAAATCGGCAATAATACGTCCAGTATTATTTAAAATAAATGAATAAATACATGATGTAGAATTTGAATGATTATCATTGGATTTATAACGAACATCATTTGTAATTAAACCTTGTAGAAAATCAATAGAATCTTTTCCAGTAATTGTTAATAAATTTTTACTTTTTAAATTTGCTAAATAATAACTTTTTGTTGATAAATGTCGATATGAATATCTGATGAAGAATGTTGATTTAAGTTTGAACATTTTGTTTTTGTTTTTGTTTTGGACAACAGTTGTTCCAGAAAAGATTATTTTTTATTCATATAGAAAAACTCTCGAAAAAACATCAACATGTGTATGTAATCATCACGTGATTCGGATTAGATGAACGAATTAATCGATAGTATTTTTGTTTTCCTAGATTTTGGTCATTTTTTTCTCAGTAAATTCTTTCCTCACACCCAAAAATGGATTCTTTCTGTTATTTTTTTTGCTCTAAAACCCGTTAACCCTTCGTTTGACAACCAAATAAAAATATTGGTAATTTTAGAATCTTTTCGATTCCAATGGAAACTATCCAACCATACAACAACAACAACAAACGCACATACAGGAGTGCCTACGTGATTTAGCATCAACTACGACGACGACAATCGTTTGACAATGATGATGTTTTTCATAAAATAAAAATAAGGTTAATAATATTTTTATTGGAAAAAAAAAGAAATTTTTTGCACAGGAAATATTTGGATAAGCGAGATACACAAACACATACATCAAAAGTCATATGATCATGATAATAATGTTTGTTTGTCGTCGTCGTCGTAAAATTTTCGATGACGATGACAGTTTTTTTTTCAATTTTGTTTACACAATTTTTTCCAATTTTGTTTTCCAATTTTGGTTTTTTTTGGTCAAAAAAAAAAAGCAAAATGAAATGATCATATCATCCAGACAGACAGATTTTAGATATCCAGATAGATTTAGATAATTTTTATTTATTTTTTAACTCTTCCACGTCATCATCATCATCGGTAATTGGTAATTTGTAACCAAAAAAAAAATTGTTGTTGTTGTAAGTAAAACTTCAACAACAACAACCTGGCTAGTTTGTTACAAAGAAAATAATAATAATGTCCAAGTAATGATGATGACCAGCTTCTGTTCATCATCTATTTTTAATAATTATTATTACTTTCTGGTTACACTGGTTAAGGATGTACAACCGAAAAAAATACAGAAAGAAACATTCAGATGCACACACACACAGAGACTGGTTATGTTTTGAGAATCTTGAAAAACAAGTTCAGTAATTTGAATGTCATTTGAAAAAGCCAAAAAAACCAAAAAAATCGATCAAATAATGTTTTTTTTGCATCTAAAATTCCAGAAAATTCCGCAGAATTCTAGTAAATTTTTTGTTTTTTTGTTTTGTTTTTGTTGTTTTTGTTTACTTGTCATTGCATCATTAAACAAAACAAAAACAAAAAATTGCAATTAATCATATGATTGCTTTAACATTTTAGAATGATTTTACTAAATGATTATCATTTCAATTTCTAATCTAAATCATCATCATCATCCCAAAAAACAAACGAAACACAATTAAACCATCATCGTACTTATTGTACAAAACAAAAATATCAAAATAGATCACAAGATTTATTTTTTAATAAAGTAAACGTGTTTNCAATTTTGTTTACACAATTTTTTCCAATTTTGTTTTCCAATTTTGGTTTTTTTTGGTCAAAAAAAAAAAGCAAAATGAAATGATCATATCATCCAGACAGACAGATTTTAGATATCCAGATAGATTTAGATAATTTTTATTTATTTTTTAACTCTTCCACGTCATCATCATCATCATCATCGGTAATTTGTAACCAAAAAAAAATTGTTGTTGTTGTATGTAGAACTTCGACAACAACAACAACAACCTGGCTAGTTTGTTACAAAGAATAATGTCCAATAATGATGATGACCAGCTTCTGTTCATCATTTTTTTTTTCAATTATTATTATTACTTTCTGGTTCCACTGGTTAAGATGTACAACCGAAAAAAAAGAAAAAAACACAGAAAGAAACATTCAGACAAACACACACACACAGACTGGTTATGTTTTGAGAATCTTGAAAAACAAGTTCATAATTTGAATGTCATTTGAAAAAGCTAAAAAACCAAAAAAAAACCGATCAAATAATGTTTTTTTTGCATCTAAAATTCTAGAAAATTCCATAGAATTCTAGTAAATTTTTTGCTTGTTTTGTTTTGTTTTGTTTGTTTGTTTGTTTGTTTACTTGTCATTGCATCATTAAACAAAAAAAAAAAAAAAATTGCAATTAATCATATGATTTTTATTAAATGATTATCATTTCAATTTCTAATCTAAATCATCATCATCATCATCCCAAAAAACAAACGAAACACAATTAAACCATCATCGTACTTATTTTTAACACAACAAAATAGATCACAAGATTTATTTTGATATTTTTAATGTAAACGTGTTTTGTTGTTGTTGTTGTTTATCATTGATTGATAATTGTAGATTCTCTCTCTCTCTCTCTCTCTCTCTCTCTCTCTCTCTCTCTCTC